ACACCCGCGGCAAGGGGCCCCCCTTAATGGGGGGTGTCCAGCAGACTGTATGCGACATCCGATCGGTAGCTGTGCTAGTTGGTAAAGGCAGCACTTTAGTATGTGTCTCAGCATTGCTGAGGTCGTGAGTTCGAATCTCACCAGACACATCTTCATTTTGTCTGTCTCTACACCCATTCCCCGGAAGAAGCTTCCAGGTTTTTTTTATTATCATCAAAATTCTTTGGGAGTCAACTCCCATTCCTAATGCTGGAATGGGAGGAACGACTCCCATTCTTTAGTGGGTGGAGACATCCTGAGACAGTCCACCAACATCCTGGGAGTCAACTCCCCAATTTTTTGGAGTCAATTTACCAAGCCCCTATCCTTTTAGACACTTTCAAATTCTGATGTCACCCTTTCACATTCCAATTGTAATGATTTATTGATTGATGAAGTGATGGGACTTGGGAGAAGATGTTTAGGCTACAAAAAAACTAGGAAAAATGGTTCTTGCAGGGGAAACACATATAAGTTTGTTTCCCCTTTGATTGCCTGCTTGGCACATCAGGAGGCTGGAGGAGGAGCTTGGGTAGTGTGCCTACTGCCTTGGCCGTGCTGGGGCATAACGTATCAACTGAGCATGAGTGGAGCATCCTCCCAGACTGACTTCAACATAGTGACAACATCTTGTGCAGTAGTATTGTTGGAGTGTAATCATTTCAGGGCAGTTGGATTCATGACTGAAACTGAAAGCACTGCAAGGATAGTCATTGTATGTGAAGGTCTTCACCATGGTGTTTATAAATTCTGTCGGACTGCCAGCCACCTGCCAACATCGCTGGCACCGGTCAGTATACAGGGCTGGATCAGGTGGGGGTCCCCGAAGCCCAGGAGCAATCAAGAAGGATTTGAGGAGTAGGGCAACCACAAAGGCAAACTGGGAAATGGTGGGTAGACCTGGCATCCTATAGCTGAGTTGACGGGGACTAACAAGTTGCAGTGGTTGGCAATAGGACTCGAACTCTGGCAATGATGGTGGTGAGGGATAGCACTTTTGAACGCAGTGGGCTCTTGAAGTGGGGTGAGGTTTTGACTGCCAATACCACTATGCCAGCAAAGCGTACTTCAAGAGAAGAAATTTACGCGTTTTATATTCATTTTCCATTATATACAACACGTCGAGCATCCTAAAGATGACTTTCATTTTCCATCATACTTATCTTTATTTCTTGCAAATTACCTGACTGGTTACAATCTTTGACCATTTCCTGACCGGCGGATGAATTCTACACATTTTGGGAGATTACCTTGCAGTGAATTGCCATCTTTTGTCATGCTGTCTCAATCCAGCCTTCAGTGGAGTTTGATGAGTATGCACCATAACTGGAGTGTCGGACTCAGCCTTCTCTCGCTGAGTCCGGATGGTTTCGAAACAGACTGGCCGCTCCTAGCACCACCTCCGGCTCAAAAAAAAAATTAACACAGTGGGCTGGTTCCTAAGGTCTGCCCTCCTCCCCATAAGAGCTGTGCTGTTCTTCCCTCATTCCCCATTCTCCTACTGGTATCACTCATCTTTCTGTCTTTCCGAGGAACTTTTTCTCTTGAATTTAATTCGCTTACACTCCTTGGCTTGACTTAATTTCCATCTATCTGTCTTTCCTGATGTCATCCTCTAACATGGACGACTCGACCGACGTTACCACTTTTGACGACGAACTTGACCATCCTCCCGACGAAGACCTCCGCTAAGGTAAGTCAACAAGACTC